TATATATATAGCAGTATTGGCGCAATGATGCGTCTTTGTCTTATAAGATCACGATGATTTAGGAGATAAACAGCGCGTCTGTAGAAATATTGTGGTCGTCCGTTCAATTACAAACATTTGTACGTGATATATATTTACAAATGTACACAACGCTTGACCTCTTCTTTAAGAATGTAATCGGCGTTGTACACCAACAATGAAACTATAAACAATGCTGCGTAAGTATTGACAATGGACAAATGAGGAATAGTTCCGCGAGGCTGGGTGAGCCCATAGTTATTTTTAAAAAATAAGTTGCAACTAGTCCTGCGTCAGGACAATTGCGCAGATCTGAAGCAAGTGTCGATAGTGGTCATGTGCAAGTGCACTACCCCCGCTGGCTTGGTTAGTGAGCTTGGTATCAAAGGTATTGTGGGGAGTTTTGTCAGGGTCTTGGTTAGCTTGATTGGCAAGTGGCCTCCTACCCTTCAGACGAAAGCCCACAGCCTGTCAGTTGGTATGGTGGTTTCGCTGTCAAAGTGCTCTTTTCATTACAGCAGTAAAATTGCTTCCTCCGCGCTACCAACATAGGATGTAGTCCGGAGGGGCTCTGAGGCTATACGATAGAACCACATAACCGCGTGAGATGTTGAGTCGACTTTCGAAGCCAAAGGGGAAGCGAGGCTAGGTAATAGCTTGGTAGGCAACGATGAGCTTACGGTGTTGTTCCGGTCCTCGACGCAGCAGACAAACTCGTTAAGTTATCCCAAGTGCTCCTGCCCTAAGTTCTTCGCCTTGCTTTATCTTTTCCTTCTAAATGATATCGATACGCTTAAGGTATAATACCGACTTCTGTCCTCCCTGAAGGATCCCGCCTTTTCGGCGTTAGACTTTAGCTGGACAAAAGTAACGACAGTGAAGAACTACAACGAAAGGACCCACGATATGGCAAATCGGCCAGGTTACCTCACGCAGTCAGATGTGTCTCAGTTACATAGATTTGACAGCAAAAAAAAAAAGGCTTCGTCGCTGCTGGTATAACAAGCTGTACCTCTCGCTTGCTTTCTGAATGGGAACTACCATTCAGGCTGCTGACTCAAATCAAGTTGTTTATAAATCTAAAAGGCACTCATTAATTCAATGTTACAATAAAGAAATTACAACAAGGGCCAAAATCTAAGCAAGAAACGTGTCCTAATCATAAATAGCTTTCGGTTAAGAAATAATTTGTTTGAGCTGATTACTACTTTATTAAGTACTGTTGATTGCCACTACAGTTATGTTAGTTTAAGATTATGCGGTATTCTGATATCCAGTAGCCTCAGTGACTTTCCGAAGTGATTTCCTATAGATAGACGGCTTGCTTGCAGTCTGGTACGCGTTAGAAAGTAATGCTGCCAACGATTAACATGTCGTTGTTGTAGCAAAAAACACGGTGCGTTTAGTCGAACTGCAGGGAATAACGCAGCTGCACGCAGATCTTATTGGCGAGCAGGTTCATTCTTGCTCTAATTGCATCACACGTTTCAGACTCTAGTCTAACTGGATAGGTTAGGCGACGGGGCAACAACCTGATCCTCCTATCCGTAGGAGAACAATCGAATCGAAGGATCGGCAGGAGTAGGTATTGTCCTTGTCTATTATATACTATCCTGTAGTGTTTTGTTCTGCCAGGTGGATGGTTGGATGTAGAGATCTCCCTTTCCTTTTTGTGTACCGCAAGTCCTGTTCTATCTATCGTGGTTCTTTTGCCCGTTTCTCTCTCACCCGTCCCTTTTTACTCTGCTTGCTGAGGCTCGCGGGATGTCTTCTTTTCGTTGAGGGTTGTTGTACGGTCGCGTAGAACAATATGTTTGCTAAAAAGCTTATGCCAGCCTGCTTGCTGGTCTGGCAGTGACAGCAAAATGAAGGCTACGACACGGAGGAGTACGATTACATGGGTAAACAGATGCGCGACGATCGCGGGCTCCTTGTCGAGAGTGTAGTGCAGAAGTGGTAGTACTGGCGATGGCTGTCGAACTGGCCACATTCGAGGAGATGGAGCTTGAGTGTCGCCCTAGCGGTCGAGGATTGCTCGCGATCGAACGCCGACCCAACGGGGGGCCGAAAAGGACCCCTGACCCCATGACACGCCACCACGCACACTATATATATACAACAACTAGGTACTACTGCTAGGACCAGCACCACGTGAGCTTGAAGGATTATGGTTCAACCACAAGCGAGACAATAGAAAAAGCTGGCAGAAAGTGAGAGAAATAGAGGGCTCCAGCGGATTGTTTTACGACGGACTTAGTGATTTCGTAAAACCATTTTGTGATCTACGTCGGCTCGTGTTGCCGCTGCGACTGCAGTAGACCGTCGCAGATGTTGATGCCTCTGCTTCTTTGCTGATGAATAAATATTGTGAACGGTAAAAGTGGGTAGTTGAAAGAATGGTAGAGGGGATGAGGTAAACCGAGTCCCGCTTCGGGAAGACGATGATCGCATCTAACAGCTCGCGCATGCGTGCAAATCTTTCGCAGAAGCGCAAATACGTTCCGGAACAGGGGGTCCAGGTAGCAGTTAGCTAAATGCAGGATTTGAAATGAATTCACAATGAAAAAACATAAATAGTATCTAATATGTGCATATCTAAGTTGATACTAGTCTACAGTAGACTCGAAGACAGGTGATTAAAACATGCAAGAGGTACACAGTACGTATGCGGGAAGAGCTACACTGCTCATTATGGATCAGTCGTGATGGTGTAAACAAAGCCAATTTTGAAGCCAAGTACTACTATAACAACCGTTTTTTAAGGCGACGCATAGAAATACCTTCATTGCACGAATAGTTCAATGCCATACCTTACCTTTTATTTAACAAGGAAACTTGCTCGGCTCACAGAACTTCAAAAATGGTGTTATTTCAAATTATTCGCTTTTGTTTGTAAATATAATAATACCGTAAAGTCGTTAGTGCATTAGACAAAACTTCTGTAGGAAGTTACGGATTAATGCCAGCAAAGTAATTTTTGCCAGCCACGTCGTTTACTTTGATTCAGACGTTTGTTGATCTCAGGCGAAATGACTGATCTGCTAATTCACTGATTAATTGGGCGAGCCATGATGCTGACTGATCAGAGTCTCTTGATCGATCAACGATTGATTGACTAATACACACCTAATCCAAGGCCGACGTTCGAGTGGTAGGTGGTGGATGTGGTGATAGGTGACATAGGAGTGGGGCCTTTAGGCACTAGAAGGGGGTCTATGAGCGGCGCTGTTGAGCCACCGTGCATTGAGGGCGCTTGCCCCACGGGACTCGGCAACTGCTGCTCACCTAGCGTCGAGTCGGAGTCTCCCGCGTCGAGGCGCTTCGCTCGCCGACCGTGCTTGGAGTTGTTGTGGACGAACATGTTATCGGAGACGGCCAACAGAGGCCCCTCCACGTTCACCTGGCTTGAGATCACCACCTAAAATCGAATAATACGGGCAGTGTCACAATTAGCGGAGGAATTTAATAATGATTATATAACCTTATGGCCATTATATGAATATGCAATCATTCTGGTTATTGTATATGCCAATTATAATAGCCCCGAGACGAACACTAACAACGGTATAATCCTATCAAAGAGGGTAATTTTTGTATTGACACTAAAATACATTTAATCACGTGCCCAGCATAGCCTCCTTTTCTGTCTATACAAGTCAGCATTGTTTATAACTCAGGCTAAAACCCAAAGAAAGCAATACTCGGCACTGATTGTTTTGCGTACGTGTACTACAGAAAGCTGACGGGTCACTCGAACTAGGGTCGCAACGAACAAACGTTCATTTCTACTTCTGAGTATTTATGTTCGGATTAGGTAATATATAGTATAGCCAGCGATAATAGCCTTCTTTACCGCTACAAGCACTGCTGCGTCTTCTATTAGCATCCGCCTGGCGGGCAGCGGTAGCAACACGTCAACAGGTGTTGGCGTTAAGCTCCTCGCTCTCGTTACATTATCCAGTGGCGCAATTCCTCCTCGGAGAGCGAGCAATCTTCCCCTTGGGCAGTTTTCATTTTTCAAAAAATTCAACAACCCTCAACGGGCAGCCAGACCTAGCTATATGTGTTTTGTTGCCCATCCACTGGGCGAGCGGGAGGCCGTACTCTACGAACGAGTTCTCCCTTCAAAGGAGACTGATGGGAAGCGGCCCCAGAAGCGGCAGCATAGAATAGGATCTATCGGGAGAAGGAGGTGCTCGAAAAGGCAACTATCTCGGAAGCAGCAGCAGCAGTGCTACTGGTTGTGCAGAGGTATCACACGAACTCGAATGGAGGAAGAGAGGGTGCATGAGGAAAAGGCCAAACCCATTTCATCTAACCCTCGATAGCTTTCTTGGCCTCCTACTATTCGTTCGACGAGGACCTCTCATCCGATCCATCGATAGCCCCTCCTTCTTCTCCGCACTTCTTCTTCTCCTACTTGCCAACCTTCTCTCGATAGTCCGACTCCTCCCCCAATAGCCCCCATCAGTCTGTCCGCGTCACTCGCTCCATCGGCGATCTAGCGGCCATAGGGGGGCTACAACTTCCACCATCGCTAGCACCGCCACTTTGAAAGGACACCCAACCAAGCCAAACAGCCCCCAGGCCAATGCCTAGAACCCCGACTAGCCCCATCTCTGATCATCCCCGAGCATCAGATCTACTCTGTCTCTCTCTCTCTCTCTCTCTCTCGCTCTCTCTTCCTCTGTCTCAGAAAAGAGGAACACTCCGCAACCTTATCCTTGATCCGCTGGTGGACTCGCACATTACAGCTATAGACGGACTCGCACCAGAGGCAACTCGCGAGTTTGTTCAAACGAGAGGATGCAACGGTTGAACTAGAGAGGCTGATAGAGAAAAACGACGACGACGACGACGACGACGACAACGGCAACGGCACCACGAGGGTGGTGGACGAATGGAGGCCAGTCTGGGGTCTGGCGTAGTAAGGCAGGGGTTTGGAGCAGAGCAGGGCAGCGCACCATCCAGTAGCAGAACGGTGATGCTGGTGAAGAAAAAGAGGACGAAGCAAAACACGAAGGAAGGAAGATGAAGGGAAAAGTCGTATTTTATCTTCCGTCAGTGAGTCGCTTGTAGAGTTGGTTGGTCTGTAGTGGCACTTCCCATTGATCGTCCGGGAGCCGAATTGCCCGCTGGCCGATTCACAGACTGAAGCGGCAACGCTGACGTGGCTTCTCCACAATATCTGTGCTCACTTGTTATATGTGTACGCTGTAGGGCAGTGCGGTGCAGACGTGACTGTGTGATACGTCTGAAACCGGGCCTTGCTTTTTGCCTGTCTCTGTTTGCCACAAGCAACGAACTCTATTTTCCCATCGCCAAATGCTGGTTGCTATGACAACCGCGACAGTGCATTGCAACTGCTGGCGTTTAAATTGTAGAGAGCTGAGCACAATTACATATCGGCAATGTGCGTGTGTGTGAAGATGGGCGCGGAATAGAATTGAACTAGCTTCTGTAGCAATTTCTGGTGGTACAAATCTCGGAAGCAGCGGCTGCGGAAACCGACGAACAGACGGACGGCGAATACTGGCGATAAACGCGCTGAGCAAAGCTTGCCAAGCAACTTGTCTCAACGATACGTACAACAATGCACATACATATGTATGTATATCTGCTGCACACTTGTGTGACGCGAGGACGGCGACGGCGTCGATCGTTTGGCTGGTGGCTCTTGGTTTGGCGATGAGCTGGTATGATTTTATGAGGCCAGACCAAACGGGCGTTTGGTGCTCGCAGCAGTAGCACTTGCTACTGGAGGAAAGGTAGAGGGGCAGGGAGTGACGGGGGCGATTGGGCCACCGCTACCGAGCGCGAGCGATGTAGCTAGTGCCGGCGCTGCTATTGCGATGTCTTTGTCTCTATTGCCACTACTCTAGCGTACTTTGCTCGGCTGCCATGCGTTCTGCAGATGGTGGTAAACCTGCAGCAGTAGGGGTAGAGAGCGACATCCATTGCCATTGCTGTTTGTGTGTCAGTGGAAGCTGGTGGACGGACGGCGGCAGGAACCAATGGCACAGACTCGAGTAACATGCGTTAGTCGTTAGGAGAGTGAAGTAAAACATGGGAGAACGAAGAGGAGGATCGCGACGTTGAAACGACTAGTGGGCTGCTGAATAGCAGCAGCAGTGGCGCCGGCAGTAGCTGCGTCACTGGGGTAAAGTCGTCAAGTGCTTTATGACCGCTAGCCATACAAATCTGCTCCTCGAAACAACTGCTTCCACATATTTCCTCGCCCGCCCTTTCTTCCCAATGGGTGGTTACCATTAGATTGCCCAGCCCCTCGCATCCATATAGGATGGCGGTCCTTTCCCTATATAATCGACCTGGTGTGGGTGAAAAAAGAGCTCCAAACAACCAGTCGAGAGCTGTCAAATATATATATGTGTGTGGAGAGAAGGATGCTGTAGTATCAGTAGCCGTTATGGGTGGTGCTACCTTGTTAAGTGTGCGAATAGTTATTGCATTGCGCTCTGGGACGTGGAAGCAGGCCAAATAGTTAGGGGACCTTTCGTCTGCCTGCAGCTTTGGCAGGGTACAGTAAAGCTGCTCTCTCTATCTGAGGAGCACCTTGGCTAGGTTGATAGTTGGAGAATGGTGGTCGATTTGATGGCCTACACCTCATTGGAAGGCTAATTAGAAGAAGGGGCAGCAAAAGCAGCATCAGCAAGTTATACATATGACGAACTATGATTATACGAACATAACAAGCAATCGCTTATTATGTACCCTACACAGTTGGAATCGATCGTCTGACCTCCTGATGAATTCCGTTACACATATGAAACATGGGGCGATGCGTCGTACACTTTAATGCTATAGCAGTTGTCATGTCGGTGACCGTTGCTTTCGTTAAGCAGTACCTGATAAAAACAATTTTTCATGTAACAAACTTAAAAGTTATTCACCTGGAACCGCCGCATGTCTCGTGGGTTTCCCGCATTCTTGAGGCAGTTTTGGTTGCACTTCAGGAAGAACTTCAGGAAGAACCTGTAACGAAATGAAACAAAAAAAAAACAGAAAATACAATGTTATTTATGTCACCATTTTATTTACGTCAGGCAACAAACTAATCCATAGTGGGTACACCTTTGAACGCTTTGCTCAAAAATACATTCATACTGACATGCTTAAGAGCCATTGCATTATAGTAATACATGATTTGAAAATATCAACAGCTCTTTGACCTGCCAGTCTGAAACACGCTAACGGTCAGCAGAATTGCACATGTCGGTACGGCCGTTAGCTAGTGTTGGTGCTCCGAGATGTGACTGTCTATTTTATATATATATATATATAAGGCATTCGATGAATTAATCCCTTTATGTATATAGAAACAGCGGCCCAGACGTAAACGTTTGTTCGTGCAAAATATACTGGCACGCAGAGTATCGTTTCCAAACTAAAGAATAAACCAAACAGGCCGAACGCATTTTTCCTTTCTGTAGGAGCTCGATTCCTGTTTTCTCATCTCTATACACTTTTTTCTCGTTCACACGATCAGCCAACAGTAGCGTCTTAGCAGATGTCGGTGTCTACCACAACACTACTCGTCTATATCTATGGCCGTTACAGTGTGTGGTAGACGCGGGGCGTTCGATGAGCACCGATTGGGGAAGGTTCGAAGACCCTCAAGCGACGGACGGCTTTGCGGGAGTGCCTCGGCGCTGGGTTTCAGAGGCCGCGACAGCAGCAGCGCTGCACGGCGAAGACAACGTGATCGCAGTAATCGCAAGATCCCGATAGAGGAGGGAAAGGAACAGCCAGTTAGTATAAGGAAACTTAGCCATGAAGGAGAAGTCGAAAGGCTAGGGAGGAAGAATGTACGACGAAGGCAGCAATACATAGACAGGCCAAGCCCGTTCTGTGTTCTTCACCTACGCTGTATCCCTTTCTTGGCTTGCTTCATAGTCCTTTCTGTCGCTGTGGCTGCCATAGAAGACGCATTCGACTACTTCAGTGGCGGTGGTGCTGCATTTTCTCGGGTTAGAAATCTTATTGAAATTTGCCAATTTTGATATCGAATTTCGCAGACTCCACAGGCGGTAGTACCGACAGCGGCATAAGAACAGCCAGTCAGCCATCCCTGAGCCTTGTCGCTTTGCCAAGGCTTCTGTCGCTGCTTCAGACAGCCAGGTAGTTGAGGAAAACGTAGCGGCAATCGCGAGAAAAAGAAGACGCTGAGGGAACTGGGCCTGTAGTGGTGAGTGGTAGCTGGCCCATACTTTGCTCTTTGCCACTGCTGGCCAGCAAGCAAAAACGACGCCCGTCTTCATCAGTATTGCTGTAAGCGCTTGATTTTAGCCACCCAGCTATAACATGGCTGCACTGCAAACTTCCTCGTTCGTCTTTAGATATATATATATACATATACAACTTCGTATTCAGTTTCTTCTAACAGCTATAGGACGTGTAGGCTTGTCTGTTTGCCGCCAGTCTACCGATCGTTTGCAACGGTCGGCTCGAAGCGCTACCTTCGTTCCGTTATCGGTACTCAGAACTCGGACGGGGCCGAAAGGCTGACAGAACAGGTTGGGGAGGCTTCATCCCATCTCAAAAAGGGGTCGGATGAGTGAATGGTTGGCTTGGCACGTAGGCTCTCCGTATCACCCTTCTTTCAGCCATTCCTCATGTTCGTTGGCCGTCTGGCCTACCTGGCCAGCGGTAGAGTGAGCTGTTCCGCGTGCTGCTGCTCCTACTACCGCAATAACTATTTCTAAACAAATTCCGTAAGCATGGCGGTATAGGTCGCTTTGTATAGTAATGAAGAAGTCGTCTCGTAGCGAAGTAAGGGAAACCATTATTCCTTCCAGCTGAACTAGTAGTGAAGCCGATACTGCTGACAATCATTGATCGTCGAGATCGTTGGAGATTGAAGACGATCAGACACATGAAATGATCAAGCAAGTACTCAGACAAGTAGTAATAAACCGATACGTTTAGAAGTTAATTAGTGTGATATTACTGACAGTCGTATTTCTATGACACGCAATGGCAATTCGAAATTTTATTTTGATTAAACGGACAATATGTGTGGCCATCTATGTGATTAACCCTGATAGCATCACCGTAAAATATTATCCCAGTGGATTAGACCGTGACAAAAAAGTACGGGATGCTTTTCTAGCTAAAGCGCTTCAAAGTTACATATCTCGGATAATGTAAGTTGCGTTGGTGCTACCTGAAAGCCAAAACCTGGCATTAGTAGATATGTAAAAATGATTAAAATACATTTTTTTCATATTTAAGATGAAACGCTTTGAAAAAGAGCGAATTTTTATACATCGTTAATATTTGCCTCGACAAGGACCACGAACGTGGTCCGGCTCTGTAAAATAAAAGCGTCTAAACAATAGTTTATCGCCAAGACGCGTTATGAAAAAAAGGACGACCTAAAGAAGCGTCCTGTTTCTTCTGTTGTAAGATGCTTACTGTAGTGGTCGATTAATTATGGAAAAAGTTGATAAAATTATTGCAAAAGTTGGACAAGACCGGCCCATGAATAGCCATGATATGGTCAAAAAAACTTTAAATTTACCAATTTTTGCGTCATTTGGAGAAAACTGGCTATAAAAATAGCTCGATGTTAGTGTATATGAAATAATTTACCTACTATACCTACGTAGAAGGATTTCCTTCTGCGAAAGACTACAGAAACGCGACGAAATCGAAACGGTTCTAGAGCAGTCGGTCACGGATAATGAAAAGCAGACCACATCAGTGAAGAAAATGGCGTCGTCATTTACCACAATCACACATAGCATATGTTTAGCTACCTAGCAATGAAAGAAATTCGGTGTAAAATCTTAATGCATACAAGCCATCAGGCTGCTATCATCTGTTTTGGTCGCTGCAGAACTCCCTTAATGGTATTAATCTAGTGATGGGGGGAAAAAATCACTTGCCCAAGAGTCCTAAAAGTCCTGCAGTGATACTGCTTTGCTGCGGGCAGAAAAATGGCAGAAAGTCATCGATTCGAGGGGAGCATATTTAGCTTACTACCATTATTTTAAAATTTAGAAAATATTAGCTTTAATTTTGCCTTTAGAGCAACGAATACTTTCTCGACAATCCTATATATTTTCGTTAAAAAACGAACAATGAGATCAGAAGGTCAACTATCGTATATATCTATATACTTTAGTCTAATAGCAAACATTTGATATTTCTATAACTTCTTCAGTGTTCCTTGGATCTTTTGAATACGATTCTTCGTGAGAGGTCTTCATATCTACTATATATATTGCATTCAAAAATAATATAAAAATAAAAATAAATGTCGCCAATTCTTCCTATGCATATGCACACACGGTTAGTATGCAACTATGGTGTATAACCCGGTACGGTACAATACCGTTTGCTACATTTTAGTTATAAAGCTAGCACCTTTTGTTGGCGACACAGGTTGTAATCAGTCACCGCGACGTCGCTTGTAGTAAATGTATGCTGTTCCGTTCGGTATAGATAATCAAAAAGATTTGCCCAAATCTTTGGCTAGTGCTGGATAGGCACCAATGTGAATTCCGTCAGCGTTTCGCTCCGTGACAAAGTACCCCACCATCTCCTCGCCAAACCCCTGGGCAAATTGAAATGAGAATAAACTTTCTCAGAATGCGGAGCTGAGTTTCTTTGTTCTTCTGCCATCTCTCGATTGATAGAAAGAATTAAACTTTTTCATTTTCATCGAGCGGATGAAGGAAAACGCATCAGACGGGGGCAAGATCAGAGCAGGCCGCTAGGGCGTTCAGGCAGGCAGGCAGGCAGGCCAACGTAAAAGACGGCCCACTGCGGTGGCCGGAGACACGAATTGCAAGTCGTCGATAGCTAGACGACGTGCACATGACCCTGTCCTCAATAAGAATTGAAGAAGAAAAGAGACAGGAGAAGGCGAGAATATGTAACTCCGTTCCACAATGTTCTTCCGGCGGTAAGAGGCGGTGGCGGTGGCGACGGTGGCGGTGGCGGTCCGGAACAGCCAGTGTAAAGCCGAGAAGCTCATCTGTTCCCTTTCAGCTTACGCCATTTTCTTTCTCTGTCTTTTTCAAGGGATTTGCAAAGTAACACTCACTTTCTCCTTCCGCAGATTCCACATCCATCAGTAGCATTTCGAGAGTTAGCCAGCCTCGTCGTTGTCGTCGCCGCGGCAGTTCCGACCGTTGCTCTTATTACGAGTTCGCTCGGTTCGACACAAAAACTGTGTAAATACCATCACGGTGGTGCAAAAAATCCAGCTGCTCACCCAACAGCCACTCGCACCATAAATATAGTGAGAGACGGATGGACGGACAGAGGGGTACACGAGAATTGAACGCGGGTATTGTGAACGACGTCATGACTGTCGCAAAGCAGATGACTACCAAGGCTGATGCTGAGATCTGTTGGAGACCAGATTCCATCCCGGCGACGATCGGCGAACATAAATATGAAGAAAGGATGGGGCTGATTTGCTGACTGACTGCGTATCAGCGTGTGTCGTTGTGGCTATTTATGTGATTGTGAGTACGTGCGCGTCTGTGTTTACAAGAATCGAAAAAGGAAACGCGTTGCCAACAGAGTGCCTATATCTGAAAGTTGCTGACCAGCTCTCAAAGCGAGGACTTTTTTAAAGCGTGAAGATGCCACTGATGAGGCTTTATGTACTAGCGCTTCGGCTGTCGGTGCGGCGGGGCTGTACCGAAGATGGGTCGACGCATTCGAGGGATTCAGCAGCAGCAGGGTAGGTTAACCAACCAGACAGACAGAGAGACACAGATGAGCAAGGAGAAATGTTGGAAGTACCCAGGTCGGGAGCGTCGTACAGGGGACGAATAGGCTTATTTTGTCACAGGACATCTCTGCAAGCTGCTCTCAACAGGACAAACGGAGCAGTGACGAGGAGACAGAGAGACAGTCGGACGGGAGGCTGGCGTGCGTGCGTGCGTTCAAACAAGGAGCCCAGTGGAAGCCGCTAGTTGAGAGTCTTGCCAGAGCGCTCTTCTTTCCCGCCAGCA